AACCATCTCATCAGCTCCGAGGTGAAGATTCAACTGAGCAACTCTAGATTTAATTTTTGGCAAGTCGGGAAAACAGGAGGAGGGGTATTGGTGGTAGTAGTGTCGGCGTGTTTTAGGGAAGCAATACAAGCAGCCAGGTAGGCGACGGTGGCACCTCCTCTATCAACGGCACCGTCCGTTCCCCTCCACCCCCGCCATGCCTGATACATTCCAGCTTAGGAGGAAAAGCGAATGTACCCTCTGAGGAGCAGCCTTTACACTCCTCGTCCCTCAGCTCCAGATGCAGAGCTTGTGACACAGCTGCGAGGTACAGCTGCTGTGGGAGAAGAAACCGTGCACTTGGGCTTCCCGCCTCTTTTCTTTATCTCCCTGCTTATTCCAAGTGACATGCTTCTCCTGGGATTCTCTCCCCACAGCCGGCACCCACCCGAGGCCACTGCTGATCTTGAGGGAACCCACACTGTACTAATGCCAGAGTGTGCATCCACGGGGAGTCCTTTGAGTCCCAAATGACTGCTGGTTCCAGGTTGCTGTGTGCTCTTTAATCGAAACTCTCCCTCCTTTTGGGTACGCTCCTTTATCTCTATTATGTACTGGAGGCAGCGAGTTAAGAATGGAGGCGAGATAGAATTTCAAAGCTAACACGTTTATTTCTAACAAATGGTTGCCACTGAGGCAGCTAACACAGTGCCCGTTCAGCTGATGGCAACAGCTGAAGCTCGCTCTGGCAGCTTCTTTTATACTCAGCTGTCAGACAGGGAGCCAATCAGGTGCAAGCGCAGCGCCCTCTAGGAAGCAGACCAGAGTGGAAACTTCAGACACAGCACTCCTTCCCACCTAGAAAGTTCCTTGCATGTGTAGTCCTTTAGGCACCCCTGCTGGTGCATGATTCACCCAGATCTTCTCAGTTAGTTTTTGCCAGCCAGAGCAGAAGGATGGTTCTTGGTGGCTCCCAGATTGCTTGGAAACTGCGTCACTGCTACTGCTGGCAGCAATTTTCACAGGGACTGGCCCGGTTCCAATGATAACTCTACTCCTCGGGTGTCGTCACTTGTTTCTGTGTTTCAATTGGGGTGGCTCTCGCGTCCTCCATTGGCATTGAGTGTGCAGGACCTCTACTGGGCCTCCTCTAAGTGTTGGTATAACGTAGCCTCTCCTCGCCCTCTCGATTGATGTGCTGCCTCCATAATTTTTCATCCTCCATTTCCACTTGTAAGAATAGCGTCCTGTTACCTCTACAATCACGCCCGGCAACCAGAACGGGCTGCCTGAACAGTTTCGGGCATAGACACTGGCCCCCATGCTGAGCTGCAATTAGTCACTGAGCAAGGAGTGGCATGGGGTACCAATAGGTACCGTCTATTTTAGTGTGCCAGTCTCCGATGCTCATTTTGCCCAGTGCCTCCTTGGATGATCACCTTATCCATTCTGCCTGCCCATTAACTCGAAAGGTTAAAAGGGGTGATCCCTGACTCGCTAGGAACCCCTCAAATAGAGCAGAAGTAAATTGAGACCCATTATCTGAAACCAGTAGATCTGGCAACCCATGGATCATGAACAATTTTTCCAGGGCTCGCATTACAGCCTCAGATGTGGTCGACGCCATGAGGATAACCTCTACCATTTTGAATACAGTGGTCTCTGTGCTGATTATATATTCCTGTATTGTGGAATATAATCCACAACTATAAGGAAATTTTGCCCTTGGAAGGGGTCTGCCAGATCAATGTGCACTCTGGACCAAGGCCCCTAGGGGGGTCTCCCAGTCCCAGTTCGGGACCCTGGGAGGTGTCAGCCTAGTTTCCTGGCACCGCTTATACCATGATACCCTCTCCATGATAGCTTGGTCTATGTTGGGCCACCATACATAGCTGTGGCCCAATGCCTTCATTCTCACTATACCTGAGTGTCCCTCGTATAAGGCAGCCAGATCAATTCCTGTAATGAGGTTAGAACCACTCACCTGCTTCCCTATAGCAGGCAGTCTTGCTGAGCTGATAGCTCGTACTGCCTTATTTTAAATGGCTTGAACTCTGGGCCCACTGGCCCTCGTGGTCCCCCTTCTCATCCAGTCCAGGACTTGAGCCTATATGTCCCTAGCAGAGTGAGTTGCAATGTCCATTCATTGACAAGTAGGACCAAACTTTCAGGGGCTGGGTCGTTGACATTGGTTGGCAACGGGCAGTGGTTCAGGGCATCTGTGGGAAAGATGCTTCCTGGTGCAGTGGGAGAGTGTATAGCTGTAGGCTGTGAGGAAAACTGTCCATTGGGACATTCGTGGGGGCAGCACCTGTGGTGTCTATCGATCGCTAGCCAGAAGTCCGAGAAGGGGCTTCTGGGTCAGTCACCAAGTTGAAATGGCGGCCATACACATTTGTGGTAACATTTTATGCCAGCTACGATTGCTAGGTCGAGCTGGCTGTAGTTTCTTTCTGCAGAAGGCAGGGTTCTTGGAAAAAATGCTATTGGGGCTTTAGAGCCATTCAGCAGTCTATGCCTGAGATGGCTCCGACCCCATAGGGGGAAACGTTACAGGCTAGAACCAGTGGCAAAAGTTCATTGTACTGGACTACCATGCTCTCTGACATCAGCAGACTTTTGACAGCTTGGAATGCTTTCCCCTCTTTTCGACCCCAAACCATGGAGCTTTACTGTCTAAGAGTCGGTGTAATGGTTCTGTCACTGATGCCTTGTGGGGTAGGAACATACTGTAAAAATTTAAAAGTCCCAAGAAGGCTTGTAGTTCCGTTTTGTTGGTGGGAGTTGGTGCCTTCTGAATGGCTTGTATTTTTGCATTGGTCGAATGCAGTCTGGCAGCGTCGATTACCGTATTTTCACCCATATAACCCGCGGGGTATAAAAGTGGGCGGGGTATACAGAAAATATTTTACACAGATTAACTAAAGGGAGAGCTTGGGAGTTCGAGGAATTGGGAGGCAGCTTTACCTCGGCTCCCCGTTCTCCATCGGGGGCATGTGCAACCAGACTGGAAAGGGCTGGGGAGACTTGGCTCGGCGGCTCGGGCTNTTGCCCTCCCCAGGCTCCTATAAAGCTTTTGAATTTGGCTTCATGCTTGTATGCTCTTCTGAAAATGTTTAACTGTTTGACTTGGAATCTAATAGCAATATTCAATTCAATTCAATTTATTACAGTCATAGATCACAGACCAGAACAAACAAAAATATTCTGTAAATATAGAATTATAAAATCTAATATAAAATAAAAACAGCTAAAATCTGATAAAATCCAATTTGTCAATTATATATGGTCTAATTATCCAAAAATTACAATCCATAAACTATGTGGTCCATAGTTAGTTTAATACTAAAAGGGAAAGGAAGAAACGGTGCAATGGGTTTGCCACATTTGTTGTATAAAATAGCTATGGTGGATTAGACATGTATTTCCGATGAATTCCCAGTGCTGCTGTGCAGAATCTAGCTACCTGCATTGTAGTTTTGGACTGTTCGTCCTTAAGCAGCCATTGGAGATAAGCAGTGTCAGAACGGCCGGTAAACCTAGCAATTATTGGAAGAATATGTTTTTTTCAATCTCTCTCTCTAAAAGAAATATGTGACCACAATAGCAATATATTTTATTTAAAAAATTTATTAACAACTAAACAACCTCTATCTATACTTGGGCTTTAAAATCCAAGAAACAGTTATATCTTCTACTGAATCAAATCCCACCTATTCAGTTGCTTTTGGCTTTGCCCAAGAAAGACTTTGGAGAAAGTCTTTCCCCCCCTCAATGGTGTCTAACTACAATTATTGCTGGTACATAGAGAAATAGACTGAATGAGAAAGTTTGTTCTTTTCTTTTCTCTGTGTTGGCTAGTATGTCCTATTGTACATGTTACTGTAACTTCCAATACAGCTGATCCAGACAAAAGTAAACAACCTAATACTAGATCTGGCCACTACCAAAATGGGATATTTGCAACTGGACCTCCCACCCAAATACTTTATCTTTGACTCTGACTGCCATGAGTAGTATTATGGAGATCCTCCTGGATCGAAAACTCCTTTGCATAGATTCTTCCTGGTGCACCAATTGTGCCCCTACCTGGACTGGGAGGCACTTCAAATGGTCATTCATGCCTTCGTCAACTCCTGTCCAGATTACTTCAGTATGCTGTATATGGAGTTGCCCTAGAAGACCACCCATAAACTTCTACTGATCCAGAATGCAGCAGTGTCCACAGTAATGGGGATTCGTAGGTTGGCCTAGGAACATATCTGTTATGTGAGCTGCACTGGCTTCCAATTTCTTAGTGCAATTCAAGTTGGCTTCCCCAGATAGGCAACTATATCAATGTTTTATATAAGTAAATAAATACATAATACTGGGTGCTTGGCTAAGAACACATCATTTTACATTGTTATGTATTTGTCAGTATATATAGTACAGCAACCCAAGGACAAAAAAAAAGCTAATATTCTGGAAAGAGTACATTGTATTAATAAAAATGGCAATTGTAAAGCACATGTCCTGAAAGGTGTGGTTAAAGTATTAGCAGTGATTGAAAAAGTAAAATATTCTTTAACATTTCAAATATTTTCAACTGACTTTATTTCCTTTGAGCAGCATGCAATATTTAGATTAAACTTTTTAGGCTATTGCTTGTAAAGCCTACTGGTAACAATGGTTTATGGTACTTTCTAAAGTAGTCCAAGCTATAGCTAATCTGTATTCTTTGAGCCAATTATACAAATTTATTTTAAAGAATTCTGCTCCCTGCCAGCCCATTTAAAATGATTAATTAATCTGAGGATAAATAGATAGATCTGTTATGTTTTCCTCCAGGAGCTTTGTGACTCACACTAGCTCAATTAAACTGTAAAGGAGTCATTTTCTGTTTCTGTAATGAACCTGCTAAGAGATAGTTTTGCTTCTCTTTAGCCTTAAAGATTAGAAAATAGCATTAGTGAAAGCTGTATGGTCTCCATTTGTTCTTGAAATTTGAAGAGCTAACTCTTGTTTTGTTTTACTATCAGGGCAAATTACTCTGATGGAAAACTGAAGAGCATTCCAAAACCTTGTGCAGGAAACCAAGGAACTCAGATCATAGTAGGTTACTTCCATTTTTAATGTTTACAATTTTGGAGTAGCCACTTTTTCCAATAACTTTACACTCTAGAGCTAACTTTATTGTAGTTTATCACAGCAGGAATACATCATTGTAGACAACTGGGAGTGGAGGATTTGCTGTACTTAACCTCAATGTTTTTGAAGCAGCTGTTATCACTGAAAACCCATGGAGAGATAACAAGAGTATCTCCTTTCAGTAACAAACCTTTTAAATTATAATATTGAAAAAAATGATTTGCAGATCCATTATAGAACAGGTGTCGAACTCGTGTCACATTAGTGTCCTGTAATGTAGTGCGACATTTTTTTCCCTTCACAGAACTGGGTTGTGTGCAGCCTGCCCATGAAACATCCAGCCTGCAGGCTGCCAGTTTGACAGGTTTTTTTTTTGCTAGTGTGCATGTCTACCACATATGATAGTATGTTCCTTGGGGCTGACTGCATTTACACCAATCCGGTGAACTATTTGAAAACATTTTCACTAGTGGTAAATGCCATCTGTAGAACATATTGTATAAGTTTTCTTTGTAGGCTGTCAACATTGTCAATTTGTAATTCCCTCCCCCCAAGCTTTTCCCATTTCTCTAATTCTATGTTGTAGCCAAACTTTTTTGCCCAAGTTATCATAGTTTCCTTCACTATTTCTTCTTCTATTTTAAATCACAGTAAATGTATATTTTTCTAATCAGTTTTTCTTCTGTCCCTTGTAAAATTTAATTAATTCTTGTAGTTCTTTATAGAATCCATATAATTCTAAATCTTACTTGTATCTGGTCTGAATCTACATATATGGCCACCAATCAATGTCTATTCCCTGGTTTTTTAGTTCTTGTTTCGTTTTAAATTTCTCCTGGTTATCTAATAGGTCTTCATATCTTATTATTTTGTTTATGTCTAATACATTGGGATAGATTAGTGCTTCCATAATTGATAACCAAATTGGTACTTTGTTGTAGTGATTTCTTTTAATTTTTTACCATGTTTGTAATAGAGCGTTTCTAATTTGTTGTGTTTGGAAGTAACTGTGTATTTTGTTTTTCTCATCCTATATGAAAGCATACCAACCTAATTATAAGTCATGTCCTTCTATTGTTAAAATTCTTTTATTCTTCAGTTTTATCCAAACTCTTATCCATGTAAGAGCAGCTGCCTGATAGTAAATCTGGGAGCCCAAAGCCGCCTTTCTCTTTACTATCCTGTAATAGTTTTAATTTGATACGTGGTTTTTTTTCCCCCTAACCAAATGAATGTTGTTGTTAGTTTGTTTAGTTATTAAAAAAAAAAATTCCTAGGCTTATTAGTACTACTTGGAATAAAATCAGAAGATCTGGTAATACATTCATTTTGATTGTGGCTATTCTTCCCATGAGTGAAAGTTGCAGTTTTCTCCAATTTTCTAGATGTTTTTTTATTTGTTGCATACGTCTTGTTAATAATTCTCTTCTTTGATCGATGAACATTTTCCTGTTAGCCAAATTCCCAAATATTTCACTTTCTTTATCATCTGCATCCCTATTTTTTCCTCCAATTCTTTCTCCTGTTTTTTAGTAAGATTTTTTTGTTGTTATCTTTGTTTTGCTCTTTTTGGTTTTGAGACCTGCTACCTTGCTAAATTCTTCTTTTTTTGTATTAATTTAGATCCTGATTCTAATGGTTCTTTTAGGATAAATACTAGGTCGTCTTCAAACCCTGAAACTTTATATTCTTCTTTTTTTATTTTTAGACCTTTTATTTCTTGTTCCTGTCTAATTTCCAATAGTAGTATCTCTAAAATTAAGATGAAGAATAGGGGCAATAGGGGGCGTACTAATCTTATATCTTTAGAGATATCAAATTCTTCTTGGTGTCTCCATTTATTATTTACTTTTGCCTTTTGGGTCGAATATATTGTTTCTACCATCTTCACAAATTTCTCTCCAAAATGCATGTTTTTTAATTGTGTAATAATGAACTACCAATTCAAGTTGTCAAAGGCTTTTGGGACATCTAGAAAAATCAATGCAACTTGTTTTCTAGGGTGTGCTTCGTAATATTCTAGTGTATTTGTAATTATTCTCATATTATTTTTCAATTGTCTTGTTGATAGAAATCCATTTTGGTCTGGATGAATAAATTCATTTAGTACTTTTTTTTAGTCTTTCTGAAATTATGGATGTAAATATTTTGTAGTCTACATTTAATAATGAAATGGGTCTGTAATTCTTTATCTGTTGGTGGTCCTAATCTTCTTTTGATATAAGTGTAACGTATGCTTCAGTCCATGTTTTTGGTAGTTTGGCCTCTGCAAATGTTTCATTGTACAAATCCAGCATTACTATTTCTATTGGTTCTTGTATGGTCTTATAAAGTTCTGCAGAGAGTCTATCTGGGCCCAGTGTCTTATTGTTTTTTTGTCTTCACTGCTTTAGCTATTGTTATTTTCCCATTTAACATTTCTCTTATCGTCTTCACAGTTTTTATTAAATTCAGCTTATCTAGGTATTGTTCAATGTTGTCTTGTAGTATGTTTTCTTGATTGTATAGACTTAAAAAAAAATGCATTATATATTTTTTATCTTCTCTCCAATGTTGTATATTTCCTTTCTCATCTTGTAGTTGATGTATTATTCTCTTCTCCTTTTCTTTTTTTAACATAGACTAACCAACTTTCCGGCTTGTTTGCGTTTTCAAAAAAGTTCTGTTTAGCTATTTTGATTTTTTGAGCCATTTCCTCCTGTGTCATCAAATTAAGTCTATATTTTATCAAATCTCTTTTTTCTTTTCTTTTCTTTTTGGGGGGTTCTTTCTGCAGATCCGATTCTAGTTTTTTAAGTTCTTTCTCTAGTAACTCTTGTTGTTGTTTCTTTTTCTTATTTTTTCTTGTCACATATGCTATTGTCAGTCCTTTGCAGTGATGTTTCCTCTTTTCTGTTTACTTTATACAAGAGATTCATTTCCTTTTCCATCATTTTTATATATCTTTATCTTTCAGTATATTTTGTTTCATTGTCCATTTCCTCCTCTTTTTCTCTCTTCTCCACGTCACTTTTATTGGGTTATGATGATTGGGATATAATCATTATATCCAGCTCTTCAGTATCCCTTCTCAGTCCCGGTGTCATCCATACCATGTCTATCCATGATCATGATTTATGTGGGTTTGAGTAAAATGTATATTTTAGTAATTTTGAAGAAAAGTACATAAATACTAAGGGAGTCAGGGGCTAAGTGACTAAGACACTGAGCTTTTCCATCAGGAAGATCAGTGGTTCAGCAGTTCAAATCCCTAGCGCTGCGTAATGGAGTGAGCTCTCATTACTTGTTCCAGCTTCTGCCAACGTAGCATTTCAAAAGTACATTAAAAATGCAAGTAGAAAAATAGGAACCACCTTTGGTGGGAAGGTAACAGCGTTCCGTGCACCTTCGGCGTTTAGTCATGCCAGTCACATGACGACAGAGATGTCTTCGGATAGCGTTGGCTCTTCAGCTTTGAAACAGAGATGAGCACTGCCCCCTAGAGTCGGGAACAACTAGCACATATGTGCAAGAGGAACCTCTACCTTTAACATTTACATAGATACTAAAATATTTAAGCACTGAAACATATGAGATTACATTGCAACCAAAACTGATTATGCTAAATATGAAAAGTAATAACTTAATCAGAAATTGAATAGAAATTTGTATAAATGTATTGGGATAGCTACTTTAATCCATTATTTTTTTAAAAACCTGCTTTTTTATTACACCATAATTAGAAAGTTTTTCAATTAAGTTATTCATCTTATATTCATAGTGTATTGCAATTGATATTTGTATTAATGTATAAGTTTCATATAAAAGCAGAGCTGAATTTAAATATAATGATATGCTGCTTTATGACAGCATTCAAATTATATTTTTTCTGGACCTTGCAGGGAGAGACAATATTCTGGGGTCCTAAAAAACATTAAGACAAATAGAGAAGACAGAGCATAATTAAGTGGAGCAAGACAAACTGTGATTGGCAGCATTTCCTTTTCTTGTGCTTTACAATAAAATACTATTCTTATAACCTTTACTTTGGTTTTGAATTTTTTGTTTGTATTAAAATCTGTTGTTTGTCTCCACAGGTTGAAGATTTATTTTACAATATAGCCACCAGGAGAAAAGCTTTTAAAAATTATTGTGAAGAATATACAAAAATACTGGATGTTGTCAGCAGGTGATCTACTTAAAAGGAGGGTTGCTTTTTGTTAGATTGGAACATTTTTCTCCTTTTAGCCAAAAATTATATCTTTGATGCATTAAAAATACATGCAGCAATAGAGATTACTTTATGATATACATCTGGATCATACGTTTGAGATGAGGAAAACCCAAGAACAATTGGTACAAATATTTGAAAATATCTGTAAAAGTACTAACACTAATTGGCCTAGTGAGTTTCTTCTGTTCTCATGATTGTAAAGCCAACAAAGACTACCAAAAGACAATAGAACATTTGTTCTGAGTCATATAGTTGATTAGTTAGTTTACTTTATTGATTAGCCCTTTGCCTTATAAAAGTGCACAGTTCCAGACACAAATTATTACTTAAATCTGATAAAAACAATTTAAAATGGAATTGGATAAAATACAATTTAAAGTAAAATTGGAATAAAATACAGTTTAAAATGAAATTGGAATAAAATACAATAATTTAACATATAAATAAATAAACTATTATACCATTATAGTAGATTACAAGTCATTGATTACAAACATTCCTTAGAAAGAGCTTATTTAATTTTAGATCTTATCATTTAGTAACTATTCTCTCCCCCACTTATATATAATAAAACCTAAACATATGTCATGATAGTATCATGTTAAAATTTTTTTGTTCCACTTCATGGTTGCTTTGCAGGCAGTGAAATTCAATATTTGATGCCATGATGCCTTCTTACTTTTACCATATATTACCAAACATGGGGAAAAGATGTGGTGTACAGTCCCATTCTGTGGTAGCAGTATACCTTCCATCCACCTTTTTTGGATTAGGTCTTACTCAGTTTGATATATTTGATATATTGATATATATATATATCAGTTTACGCATGCTTCACTAATAGTTTTTTCAATGTCTGTTTGGCTATCTCCTATTTGTTTTTCTATTTATGTATTCCACATACCAGGTATGCCATTCACAACTCTGGCATCAGTTTTTCTGTTAAAAAGGTAAAACATAATTTTTCTTCAATATTTTAAAAATAGTATTATATTTGAATGTTTAATAAAAATTAAAAAACCTCTAGGGCAGGGGTTTGCAACCTTAAACACTTAAAGAACCATTTGGACCTGTTTCCCACAGAAAAAAACAAACAAACCTGGGAGCCAAAAAACCTGGGTGGCACGGCCAACTCAATGTCATTCCCACTCAGTCACATGACACCCACCCCCAGCCATGCCTACCCAGGTTTCACGGTTAGGCATTTTCTGTGGGAAATGGTTCTCTTCCTCCTTCCCTCCATCCTTCCTTCCTTCCTTCCTTCCTTCCTTCCTTCCTTCCTTCCTTCCCTCTCATTTCTGGTTTTCTCTCTTTTTCCTCTCCCTCTCTTCCTTTTTTCTTTCTTTATTTCCTTCCTTCCCTTTCCATCTTTCTTTTTTTTAAATTTCTCTTTGAATACCATAGCAAATCTAAAATAAAGTTATTAATTGTGGGAAATTGCTTCTCTGTAATCTTTTCATATTGAATTCTTAAGTTGATAGAAGCTGGCAAGATACTAACAGCAGTATCATATATATTTTGATTTCTTTTGAGTTTGACAATGTAATACATTATCCAGAATTATAAATAATCTTATTTTCAGATTCATTTTTGCCATCTCTGTTATTTCTTTAAAAAATCAGATTTGCTTCCAATTTGTGCCTTCTAGCAAACTGCAGTTTTCTTGGCAAGAGATCTAGCTTGCCATTGCTTTCATCATAGCTCTGAGAGAGTTCTTTCTTTCTTTCTTTCTTTCTTTCTTTCTTTCTTTCTTTCTTTCTTTCTTTCTTTNTCTCTCTCTCTCTCTCTCTCTCTCTTTCTTTCTTTCGCTCTTTCTTACTCTTCTTTGTTTATTTCTCTTCCCCTTCTCTCTGATTTGTTTCCCTCTCTCATTCTCTCCCTCCAGCTCTTTCATTTCTCTTCCCCTCTTCTCTCTCTCTGAATTGTTTCCCTATCTTTTCCGTCTGTCTCATTCTCTCCCTCCAGCTCTCTTTCATTTCTCTCCCCCCTCTCTGATTTTTCCCTCTCTCATTCTCTCTCTCCATCTCTCTCTCATTTCTCTCTCCTCCTCTCTTTGTTTTGTTTCCCTCTATTTATTAATTTAATTTATAATTTATTCTGGTCCCTGCCACATGTCTATCCTTATTTGTTCAATATTCCTAAGCATCAGAGGCGGAAATAAGGGAGAAAAATTAGCCACTGATACAAAGTTGGGGGTGGATGGAAAATGTCCTCAAGTCCTTCTCTTATCTTCTTATGGGAGAGTGAACTTACACATCTAAAAAGGGTTTTTTATAAATAGTGCAATCTAACTCACATTATTAGAAGCAAAAGTCTATATTCACTATTTTCCAAAAGTGTGACAGAAGAGATGCATTAACTGTTTTGAGTAGCCTGTATACATATATGTGTATATGGTTGACATTTAAAAGCAGATACTGTTCAGAATTCTTTTGTTGTCATCTTAATCTTTCTTTAATTTAAACAGAGCTCAAGGAGATATTTTCCCAGGATAATTTGTTTCCGTTACTGCTGTAATGCTTATAGAAGATGCACAAAATCCCAGGAAAATTATGTGAATTTATATTCACCTATTTTTTCCATATATATTAAAAGCATTGGTAATTGCATGCTATCTTCTCTTTGTAGCAAAGCGAGACAGTTGCAGATATAAGAACACTGTCAACTAATACAGCTATCGACAATATTCGGTCTGTCTTTGGAAATGCTGTTAGCAGGTATAGTTAAAATGTATAACTTACAATCTAATTATTAGTATTACTATGCCCATAAATTGAGTGTAGAATGATGTAATGGTTCACATGCTACTCTAGACGGAATGTAGGTTCAAGATATCTTAGAAAATTAATTGGAGGATTTTGCACAGGCATTACCGTATTTTCACCCATATAACCCGC